AAGCCCCCAAACCTAACACCAGAGCCACAAGCCCTGCCCCTCAGGGCTCACACACTACTACAGGTCAACACACATAACGCACACAAGACATTATGGAGGCAACACCGAGAATCAGCGGGCAGGGAAGTATTGACAGGAAAAGGAACTGAAGTTAAGCAGGTATAGCCAGGAGAGAGACAGTTTTTGGCTGCGGCCCCCAAGAGTCCCTCAAATGTCCCCTAAATCTGGGCTGTTGCTGAGCACCCCCCCCAAGTCTCTGCCTGTGAACTGGGCTCTTTGTTCTCTAAGCCCCAGTGAGTGGATAAAGCAATCCCAGATGAAGTCAGTGACAAGGCAGGATCCGCTCTGCATGCAAAATCCTAGAGGTTGAGCTATAATGTCTTCATGCACATTCAGAGCCAGCTCCTCCCAGCCCAGGGGCCCTCGGAACCCCATTCACCCAGATTCCTAGGGCTGCAGTTCCCTCCTCAAGCTTCTTTTACCAATCAGCAGCCGCAGAGGTCTGTGAGGGGGAGAGGCTTCTGCAGAACGCTGAATAGCTTGGATTTCATCAGAAGGGTAAATTTTCTGTTGCCAGAACAGAATACCCCCAATTCCTTAATTTCTAGGTAAATCGTTAGAGATTATTTGCCATAGTCCTAGATAAGTCCTTTTTCAGAATAGAAAAAGCAGAATTTTATTTACACAAGTCAGGGGTTCTCCTGTTGGCTGGGGCGGGGGAAAGGGCAGGGTAGGGGATTGGATGGGAGTCCAGAGGTGGGCGCTTCCTCTCCCGGAACCTCACCTTTCCGCAGTTTGCTACTTCTCGCTTGGTGAGGCAGAAAGAATTCTTGATGCTCCCAAAGTCCTTCACCCTATAAATGCTTCCTCAAGGAAGTCTCTTCTGCCTGACCCACAAGAGCAGCGGTCGGAGTGAAGCACGCTGCATCGCGCCGTTCAGTCTCCTCATGCACTCGGAAAACCAAAGTCAGCCGGGGAAAGTAGTGCCCCCTCCGAGTCCCCTCACAGAGAGGCCTCGCCCTCCAGCTGCAGCAGGGTAATGTCGGGCAGATCGAGGGGCTCCACAAGTGGCCCGTCCCCCCCCAGGAGGCCAGCACAGGGGCTCTCCGGGCGCTCACAGTGACTAGTGGGTGTGGTGGAGCTGGGCATCTCCTTTTCTTCCTCATCGTCGTCCTCCTCGTCCTCTGGATCGCGACCCAGCAAACCGCTGTCCCCGATCCCAGGCGAAGGGGTCTCCGGATCTCGGCGGGCGCCCGGGAAGCTCCCCTTGCTGCCGACCACGCCCAGGCCACCCTGGCGGGGCGCGGTGGTCATAATCTGGCACATGGAGACGATGGCTCGCTGGTTGGCGCACACGTCGTCCGAGAGCACCTGGATGTGCGAGGCCTGCTCGTCCAGGGCCCCCCGCATGGCCCTCACGTCCTCAAACAGGGCCTGCAGCTGGGCCTTCAGGTGCTCCATCAGTTCCTTCATGCCGCCGTTGTACTCGCCGGAGATCACGTCCCCCACGGCGGGCACGGTGGACACCTCCAGAGGGGCCGGCATATCGCCGCCGTCCTTGGTCATGATCTCCAGCAGACCTTCCTCCATTGAATGGCAGAAGCGGGCGGTGGCGGCTCGGGGTCCGGTCCAGCCCGGCCTCGGGGTGGGGGAAGGTACGGGGAGGGAGAGAGGTGCCCGGAGGGGGTGGGAGGAGCCGAGGGAAGAAGAGGCTCCAGACAGGGGTGGAGAGGTGAGTCCCGGGCGGGGGATGCGGGCAGAATCTAGGGAGGCCGGGAAGAGCCGGCGGAACAAGGACCGGGCTACAGTCCCAGGGCCGGCGTCTCTCGGGCTCGCCCCGGGGCGAAAGCGCCCTGCCCTGCCTTGACTCCTGAATTGCACCCGTGTCAGCGCCGCCCTCTGGGCACCAAGAGCGTCAAGTGCCCGCCGGTTCCCTGGGTCACAGGAGCGCTCGCACACGGGCCCAGGTTGAGGCCGAGGCCAGGAGCGGGTCGACCTCGGGACTCCCCTCGGCCGTTAACTGGCAGCACCCGCGAGTGTGGTTGGAAGTGACAGGGGCGGGTCTCCCAGCGGCGCCACGGATGCTCCTCTGTTTCCAAGGCGACGCACTGCACGTAAGTGACGTGTGTCTCCATGGCAACCAGGAAGTGGAGCAGAAAAGGGAGGACCGCTGGGAAGCTGCAGTGAGGCTCTGAATTCTGAGCTTGCGGGTGGAGCGGGAGGGGAGGGGAAGCTGCAGTGGCCTCAGCTGAGACTGAAAGAGCGTGTGGCCGCAATGTTTAATAGGGAAGCATGAGAGAGCAGTTTGCTGCATAAATCCCCAGGTCGGGGAGACATCGTCCCTCCCCTAGTCTGGGTAGTAGACACCGAGCGAGACTACCTTGGAAGGATTTTCACCTGCCCGCAATCCTTTCCCTAAGAATGGCTTTACAGCCGAGTCCTTCTTCTCTGTCCTCCTGCAGGAAAGCAGAGAGGGTAGAGAGGCCGGTGGTATTACCCAGACTTGAGCTGGTTGCGCCGGCGCCCTGGAGCCGGCCCCGCCCGGCCTTAGCGGCGCAGAGGCGCAGGAGGGCACTACGGAGGTTTCCGTCACTCCCTTCTGCTGCTGCAGTAAATCAGCCCTCGCTGTAGTATCGGAGCCGAGAAAAGATGGAATTCCCTCCCATATGAGACCCAATCGCTTCTACCCAGGGCACTGGGGCTTCTTTCAGGACGGTGAGGCCAAGTGCTTCAGTTTTGAGAAAGAAAGCTCCGTAAGAATAGAGATTTTTGTCTCCTCCGTGTCCTCCAGCACGGAATCCCCAGCACTTAAAATAGAACCTGGCGCATAGTTAAGTAAATGCTCAGTACATTTGTTGAATGAATGTTTTAACAAGAACCACTGTGTCCCATTCCCCTGTCCAGAACTCTCCAACTCACAGGTAGTGGATTTTAGGAGACCTAAATTCAATTTTGTTTCGGCCATTTATTAGTTCAGAGACCTTGAATAAATCGTTTTTCTCATCTGTTAGTGAATCGGACTGGATAAGTTTTGGTAATGTTATTTCTAACTCTGAGTAACACTGCGTCCGCTCACAGTTGAAAGGGTAAACTGTTGACAATGTGTGGAGCGGATGGCGGGAAGGCCCGGCGGTGTGGGGAATTATGTAAGGGTAATTCCCTGTCCCCAGGCCCGGCGTCCAAGTACAGACATGCGCTGAGTGTTTCAACCTTTGTGACAACTCTTTTCTCTTTTTGAGGAGTGGAGGGGGAAAGGAGGAGGAGGAAGAAAAGTTGAATTTAATATATTTACAGATGACTTCAGATTGAAAAGCAAACAATACCTGGGCAGCAGCATACTAATAATGACCTTAATAAATTGGAGAAGCCAAGTGATCAGAAACCAAAAATGAAGTTCACGAGAAGAAATAAATCTGGGGAAGAGAAATGATGTAACACTTCAAGATGGGGAAGAGCTGGGTTTGGGTGAGTGTTTTGTATACTAGTGGTTCAGTGATAGCGGATGGGTTACTCTGAGGTTTCTCTTGTTGCATACTCCAGTGATGAGGGGTGGGGCTGGCCCAGAGAAACTTTGCTGGCACTAAAGAACTTTTTGACTTATTCCTTGTCTTACTGCTATTGTCAGTCTTGTCTTACTGCTATTAAAATAGAAATAAACTTAAAAAAGGAAAAAATAAAGGAATAAGTGGGCAAGTATCCTAAAGAGTAGAATGTTTAATCTAAGGCATTGTTAGTATAATAAAGTATTATATAATCCTTAAAAATTTGATATTCCGAAACAACTGTATGAACAAATTTTAAAAACCTATTTATGTTCTATATATTGTATTTTCTATGATTCAGTCTTATTTGCTTGCTCATTCTGTCTTTCCTTCATCCCACAAACTTATGACTCTCACCTTGGTTATCATCCCCACCTCTACCATGTGCCCCACAGGTTATTTTCAAAGCTGAGGAGAAGACAGAAACACTTTTCCTTGGTTTCCCTAAGCACAGCCAAAGTGCACTGGTATCCACAAAAACAGACTTTACCAAAAAGGAATTGTAGGAAAGCTAGAAATATACAAGACATACAAAAACAACAACAACTGAGCTTACACAGCATGAGTTTCTGATCATACTATAGCAAGCATATTCTTAGGGCTTATGGGTTCAACCCTGTGTGTGTGTATTAGTCGCTCTGCTGCTGCTGCTGCTGCTGAGTCGCTTCAGTCGTGTCCAACTCTGTGCAACCCCATAGACGGAAGCCCACCAGGCTCCCCCATCCCTGGGGTTCTCCAGGCAAGAACACTGGAGTGGGTTGCCATTTCCTTCTCCAATGCATGAAAGTGAAAAGTGAAAGTGAAGTCACTCAGTTGTCTCTGACTCTTAGCGACTCCTTGGACTGCATCCTACCAGGCTCCTCTGTCCATGGGATTTTCCAGGCAAGAATACTGGAGTGGAGTGCCATTGCCTTCTCCGATTAGTCGCTCAGTCATGTCCAACTCTTTGCGACCCCATAGAATATAGCCTGCAAGTTTCCTCTGTTTATGGAATTCTCCAGGCAAGAATACTGGAGTGGGTTGCCATTTCCTTCTCCAGGGTTCAACCCTGCTGTTCATCTTTCCCTGGAGGCCTTTGCTATAGTCAGAAGGAAAAAAAAAAGGAGGGGCATGACTTTCAAATTTTTGCCTAGATCTGTTGCTTCACATCTCTTGACCAGCACTTCACATGGATGATTTCACCTCGCTAGCTCCCTCACTCTTCAGAGAGGTCCTTGCCTTCTACCTACAAAGACTAACCCTGTCCCCAATACAGAGCCTTGTACATTAGCTTTAACCTGACATTAAACACAGTCCCCATACAGTAGGACCTGGGTTATGTCATCATACAAGGCCCTTTGCCACTATTGTTGAGGATACCATGTATGTCAAGGCTTTCAGCATAAGATTACATCATGCTGCCCAGAGATGCTGGCATGAGGTCTGCTGAGAGTTTGGGGGGCCTGAGCTTAGAGGGAGGGGAAATTATTGGAGAAGCACGAAAGAACATGGGAAACAGTGCAGAGATCAAGGGGTGTGGCGGATCCAGTCAAATTCCAGGTCAGATATTTGAGAGCCAAGGGTAGGGGGGATCTGGGGGTGTGGACTAGTCACAGGACTTGAAAATACAAGGAGACAATTGGTGCCTCAGATTCAGAACCAGATAATTTTAGGAATTCTGTGGGGAGTTGACCTAAGGGGACATAGGAGAAGGGTCTAGTCTCAGAAAAGCAAGGGGGCAGAGCCAGAGAGTGGAGCAGAGCCTCAGCCAGCTGGCTGGTTTACGGAACTGAGCTCTCTGGAAGTCAGTGTCCTGGGGTTTGTTGAGTGGGTCCATCCCCAAGCTGATATGGGTACTCTGGCCACATCGCTAGAGTATTCACACACAGCAAGAAAACAATAACCCTTGTGCACTCTTCTCTGCTTTCTGCCTTTTTCTTGTCCTGTGGGAATCAGCTTAGCTGTTCTATTCATTCCAATCTCATGAGACTATAGGGGGGAGGAGACTCCATGCTGCATCGGTAATGGTCTCCAGCAGGTATACCTAGTTCCAAGCCTTGAATTCTCACTAAACCTGTGATTCTTAGTAGTCTATGACATTTTCCTCTGTCTGCTGTCTTGTATATCTCCAGTCTTTATTTTATATAATTTGTGTACTTTTTGCACTATAAATCCAGCTATTGTAATGAAGCTGCTAGCTTGACTCAGATCTAGAATGATGGTCAAAGTCAAGGAACAGCTGACTGCTGCACCACAGGTCTGCAATCCCAGACGCTGCTCCCCAAATGTAAATTTTATGGAGCTGAGTTGCCCTGCAGCCCATCTCAGCATGATACCACATTCAAAAGAAGCACATCTAATAACCAAAAAGAATTAAAAAGCAATTGGGATTTTTATTATGGTCTCTGGAAAAACTCTAAAGGGGTTTACATTCTTAGCACAGAGCAAAACATCTTCTCTTCCCTCCTGCTATATTCATCTTGGTCACATGACCATAGCGGTTGCTACCCTTCTCTCTCCTTTCTCCCCAAACCCCTCCAAACTTCCACTCAAGCCCGGCTCTTGCTTTTTCACTCCCCTGCCCCCTTTACTTCTTGAGAGTATTCCTTTTCTCTTCTGCAAGAAGAAGTTCCTTGTCCTTTTCAGCTCTTTTGATTCTGTCTCTCAATCCCCCGATCTGCACAAGTACCAGGAGCCCCAGCTGTCAGTGACAGGGGTCTCCTTCCAAGAGGATAAGAAAGATCAAGAGACTGAGAATACTCACACTGTTGTGGATTTTGTCTGTCACATAGACTAAATTTTCCCAGCATGAGAGAGTGGTTTGCCTGGTGTTACAGCCAACATGCTTTGCTCATCTCCTCCACACTTGTACAGAGAAATGGGCATGATCATTTGCAAGAATCCTAAACCATATGAACCTCTGACTGAAGGGAGTGGGGTCCAACTGTTCCCACTCTCTGATGTCCCTACTGTCACAGACATGGTCATGAGATGACATACACAGACACACACAGTCACACTGGACGCCTGAGCTAGACTTTCAGTTGCTTGGTTTAAGGCTTCAAACTAATTTTAGGAATCCCAAAAGTCACCCTTCCCCATTTCCTTCTCACCTGTCTTAACTCTACTCAGAGCAAAAATTCCAGGGGAACTTTCTAAATTCTCACACAGTTTGCAGCACCACTGAAAATAACCTGTCATTTCAATTAAATCCTGCTTGGTTGGTTTTCTTCATTGCCCACTGCAACAGCTTCTCTTGTATTAACACTTGCAAAAGCTTTTTCCCCTTTTGGTGCATGTTTAGTTATTTATCCTGTACCATGCTAGACATGACTAGTTCTAGTCCAGATGTCACCGGGCAATTGGCCATGGATACAGACATTCCAAGATGACCTCTGGTGCAGGGTCTCATGTACCCTCCTCATGCATCCTCTCCATGTATCTTCTACCCCCAGAAAGTTGCCCATAGCTTAGGGCCTGATTTGTCCCCAAGTCAGTATCCTTATCAGGCATGAATAAAATTGCATCACCTGAGAACACTCACAGTTTCTGGTGCCATGGTGCAATTTTTCTTGGCAAATTGCCTCTCCCAGAATATCAGTCAAATTTGGAGGAAATTATGTCCAAGTGTCTGGACAGGGTACGGACTGTGGTATGTCTACCTCTGACTTCTCTTCCATTTAAAGAATTCTTAGAAATTGACCTATGCAAACTTCCAGGTCCCTTCTCACCTGTCATATATTTCTACCTCTGACTTCTCTTCCATTTAAAGAATTCTTAGAAATTGACCTATGCAAACTTCCAGGTCCCTTCTCACCTGTCATATCTTGAGCAAGTCTGTAGACAATGTATCCAAAAATGATCAGGTCTCACTCTTACTAATGCCTCTACTTATGCTCTCTCCAGACTTCTCAGAAGCCCTAAAAGTACAATCAAAAGTGGTTCCTACCACTTCCCTTTTGCTTTGAGGTGGTTTTCCCAGGGCCAACAAGGCACGCCAGCTGCACTGGTAGAGCGCCCACTGAGACGGTGCACTATGGTTCTATTCAACACATGCAACTACACTAGTACTTGTGATTGTGTCATGAACAGGGGTCCCCCAAATGTAATCCACATCTTCAGAGGACCACAGTGGTGCTGCACCTTAGGCAGAAGTGAGGAGGAGGGCCCTTTCTCCAACTTTTTCACTGAGGCCCTGAAGCCCATGGTTTAAGATGTCTTACAGGAAATCAGCTTTATCTTCTGTGGTCAACTACACACTCACAGTTTATAGATGCAATGCCTGTTTTGTTTGTTTCAAGACATAAAGATCCCCTTCACGCTAGAACTCTCTAGTCCCTCTGCTTTATACATCTCCAGCCATTAACATCTGTGATACTGTATTTTTATTTGTTTGTTTATTTATATATTTATTTATTGTCTTTCACCTCCCACTAGGTGTGAAGTGAAAGATCCCTAAAAATCCATTAGGGCAGAGGTTTGGTTTTGCTCACTGCCTGGTACCTGGGAGGTGCCCAATAAATATCTGTTAAACAGATGAATGAATGAATCCATACCAAGAAAAATAAACATCTCCCTTAAGGGCATCTAGTCTGCTGAGCTCCAACTCTGCCTTATCTTAGAGAGCAGGTTATCTTTGGTTTCAGCCATCTACTTCTATGATCTATGGCTTATGTTCACACAATTCAATGGCCCTTTAAGTGGCTTTCCTTGAATAAAGGAATACTTACTACAAGACACATGGAAATCCCCACCTCTTGCAAAACAGAAAAGTACTTGTAACTTTGAAATAAGAATTACCATATAGCCAGCCACCCACTGGAATCCCCAGTGACATATTCCACCACCATCCCCATCAGAGTCTCAAAGGTTGGGGCCAAGTTTTAGTACAATGCCAAGGTCAGAGGAGTGCATGCTCTCCCCTCCCCTCAAATGTTTGAGAATAGAATGCTGCCAAGCCTGCATCCTGTATCACAGAGAAGTCCTGATTTATACTCTTATTCTACTAGAGACAGGCTTCAAAAAAGTACCCTGCCACTGGTTATAAGATTGGTAGCTAACTGACAAAGGATATTATGAATAGAAAGATTACTATGCTGTAAAGTTAGGGTCTCTCTTCCCTTTGAGTTTCTGAGCTGATAGACTAGTAATTTAGTGTAATGTTAGCCCAGGGTACTTGATACTATTTTAAAAATGAGGTCTTTTTGTCCTCTGCTTATCCCTTCCTTATGTATAAAAACAAAACAAAACAAACAAAAACTCTCCACATTGATCAAATATATAAGAGAAGAGATATGAAGATCAGTTTTTCCAGGATAGTAAAATCAAATTAAAAACCAAACATCAAACATAGATCAGAAAAGCAATATTCCAGGAATTGAGGTTAGTCTTCAATCAATATTAGTAGGACAATTTCAATAAGAACTTGCTATTCTCAACAGTGTTATCTAGGTCTCTAAGAAGCAGAGGGTAATTTCACTGGTAATTGCCCAGATCAAATGCATTAATCTGGAGCTCATTTCCCCTCAGAGGGTGATCCTGAATCACATATCTAATCTCCCGTTCATCCCATCTCATCTATCACCATATCACACACACTTCCAGGTGCCTCATATTTTATTAAAAATCAATTCCCCTTTACCAGGGACATTAGTGGCTTTTGCTTCTCAACAGAACAATGAGTACCATCTGAGACACTTGCAGGTATGAAAGACAATAAACTGCCCACAATTTTACATTATTAGATCATTGAAATCACTGGTATTTCAATTGTAATGAGATCTCTGGGACATAAGGTCTCTCTGCTTCATGCTTGTGGATTTTTATTAGTGTTTCGGGGACATTCTTTTCATAAAAAAAGTAATTAAGGAGACAGGTTCTAAGGAGATGGAGATGGAGCATGGAATGATACCAGGGCTATAATTTGAGTCTAAGGTCTAAGGGAATAAAGGAAATAATCAACAGAGATGAGAGAGAAGGAAAAGCTAGAAGGAGATCCTCAATAAATTTAAAACTCTGAAACCAGCACAGAGGATAGAGGGCAGCATCACCCCCTGATTCTATGAGGACAAGAAGCAGGATGAAGCATTTAAGCAAATTTTTTAGAATACTTCTTGAGAGTGCCAGATAAGTGAGAGAAAGGAGCTTGAATTTCTTTTCTAGGAAGACTTGAAAACTGGGAGAGTCTTACTTGTCTGAGTTTAGCTTGGAAAGAAATAGGTTTATTTACCCTTGAGACCAGCCCTGTGATATTTTGGCACCCCACTGCCCACATTTGAACCACAAACCCAAAGCTTAAAGAGTTCTGAAGTGACTGTGTATATTTCAAAATAAGAAGATGTTTTGTAATCTCTGATCCCATAGACCCTTCTGCAGTCCATTTCCTCCTCCCCTTTTCAATAGGCAGTGGCATCATTCAGGCCCTGGTTATCTCACTCCTGGAGGAATGTGAAAGTTCCATTTTCAGCCTTTCCTCTGGCCCTCCCTTCTTGCGCATCACAGCATTTAGAGAAATCTACTTTAAATTCAAGTTTGAGCCTTTTTCACAGCTTAAATATTCC